AAAAAAAAAAAAAAAAAATTTGTAAGGCCGTAATAAGTCCTAATTAAAAAAAAATATATATAAAAAAAAAATAAAAAAAAATATTTTAAGAATAAGTAATTAAAAGTAAAATAAATAATTAAATTAAATTAATTTTGTTGAGTGACAAGTTATTGAAATATAAGGAATAAAAATATAATAATTGTTGAATTAATTAAAATATTAGAAGTAAAATTGAATTTGTTGTAATAAATATTTTAGTAGTACGTATTGAATAAATTTATGGGTTTATTGGCGAATAATAAATAAGTTATAGTATAATAATTTTACGTATTAAAATAATTATAGTGTAAAATATTACGATTTAAATTAAATTTATTGAATAAATTAATTTAATGAGTTAAGGAAATAAAAATAAGATAAGTGAAAATAAAAATTTGGTAACAGAAGTTAAAGAGGTTGAGGAAACCAAAAGTAAAGAAATAATTAACGAAGCAGTAATAAGCGATAATATTAGTGAAATAAAAACTATTGACGATAAAAGTAAAGATAAAACAGTAATAGGAAGTAACGAATTATTAATTGATTTAAGTACAGACGAGGGATATCAATATTCGGTAGATTTAAATAAGGAAAAATATTTAGAATCTATACGAGAGAAAGATTTACATAATAAAAGTATCCGACCAATCATAGTTAACGAAACTGAACTACGACAAATAGGCACTCGTTCAAAGAAGGGAATAGAACATACTCAATTGGAACCCCTTACAAGAAATCCTAAAATCAAAATGACTTTAACTAAACTCCCATTAGAAAAAGCTACTGTTAGGATTCCAACGTGTACAGGAGAAAGAGACGTGTATCAATTTATTACCGATATTAAATATCACTTGCTATGATAAACATTTTAATAAAAATTTTACAATAATATTAGAAAAATTAGAGAACAAACAGGTACTATTTGAATTAGTGATAGGATATTTTGATAAAAGGGGAAGATTAATGAACCTGGAAGAAACACACAATAAATTATGTCATAAAAAGCATAAGTTAACACATGCTCATGATCCTCGCACAGACGTTATTTATACGAAGTGTATATTTGACTATGTGATCAGGAAATATAAATACGAGAATTTGGCTCAACATTCAATAAAATATACCTCATAAAAAAAAAAATTATAAATACCATGTGCTATTACAATATACTGGACATAACTAAGACATAACTTATATTGTAAAGTTTAAAGCTTAGAAATGTTTAGTTTAAGTTTAAAATGTATTATTGGATTGTTTATTATTATTATTAAAAAAAAAAAAAAATGTATGAATACTTATAAATTATTATGCTAACTAACCAATTAAGAATAAGATTATTTTTATTGTATTTAATGAAAACAATTTGTTGTAAACTAACATAAATTTTATAATAACTAATCAAATATTTTAAATGTATCTAAATAAATAATATTGTAATCATTAACCCTTTGACTTAACTGATCTAGTCAACTAAATATGAATGTTCTAGTCAACTAAGTTAGTCAAATTTATATATAATTATTCAATTATGTAATTGTCACTGAAAAGACAAATTATTAACCTTTATGTATACAAAATTTCTTAAGATTTTGTATTTATATAAAATTATTCAATTATGTAATTGTCACTGTAAAGACAAATTATTAACCTTTATGTATACAACAATTTTTTAAGATTTTGTAGTTCTACAAAAAGTAGCCCTACAAAACCTTTTTTTAGTGGGGAGGTGTAGCGAGCTGTGACTATGTTTAAATATTATAAATAATCACTCCAGTGAGTCCCTCGGGTAGTTTTAAATAAATATACATATATATATATATATATATATACATATATATTAGTTACAGGAGGCCTACGAAGTACCATCAATAATTGCGGGTGATCTCCAAACGTATGTGTTCATAGATATATCACTACTCATATGAATATTATATAGTGTATATTATAGTTCATATTAAAAGCATTTACAGCGTTGTGTAGTCACAGAGAATGACAACGACCAGATAGGCAAGGGACATCCGGTGAGTGCCACGCGTGGCCGCCCACGGTATGACTTTATATGGTAAAAGTAGTAGGGTACTAAGCAGGGATACGATCCAAGTATAGCCATCATAATACGTCGCTCGAATGGGCTTCGGCAGACGGACCAACACCAACGACAAGCTAGGAGCTAGGATATGACAGTCACATCTCGCTAGTCTCCATTAATTAATATAGTCACTTTGGACTTAGTAAATTTATTGTGTTTTTGTATTAATCAAATAAAAAGTTTTCAATTTATAAAGAAAAAGACAACTCTCCTTCATTTATTTTTCAACACCATCAAACGGACGTAGTCGGTTTGTTACAGGCTCATCAACAGTGAACCTAGTCTCATTGTCACATTCTATGACCACAACGCTTTCAATACCATCAACCACTTTGGGCGTACGGTTATTTTCATCTGCTTTAACGGTCGAAGACTTTGGGATTTTTAACGACAGTGCTGTGACAGGACAGTACTTGATGTGTTGGAGATGTTTGTGTTGTTTTTCTTTTTTTCCTCAACTCTCTGTTTCGTCTAAATGTTTAAGGCTAGAAAATTCTGAAATTTTTCTCTTTCCATTTTCATTAGTAGTAGGGGAGAGTGGGGCTAGTTGTTACATGTTGATTTCAAAAAAATGTATCTGTGGTAACACTGTGTAATTCACATGGTAAGCATGTGTACATGTGTTTGTTCAATATTTTCTGTTTTCGTTATCATAATCGTTATTGAATTCCTGATATAAAGGTCTAAGTGAAAATTGTAACTTAAAGCTACATTTTAAGAGTTATATCCAGTCAAAGAAAATAAATATTTTTTACGGTTACTAATATATTGGTTGTTTTTTAGGGATAAATATTGCGGAACTATATTAAAAAAAACTAATAGGGGGATGGTTTCAAAAGGAGATATGGATGCTGCAGCGGAAGATGTAATTTCTGGGTCTATATAATTAAGAAAAGCAGCAAATGCTTATAATTGCAACTTTATGACCCTTCAAAGGTACGTAAAAAAATTAAAAATAGCTAAAGAAAATGGAAATAGTACAGTAGATGTTAAAATTGGATATGCCAAACCACGACAGATATTTTCTGAACACCAAGAACAATAATTGGCCAACTACTTAAAACAATCAGCTAAAATATTCTTCGGCCTTTCTACAATGGATACTAAGACATTAGCATACGACTATGCAAAAGTGAATAGCGTGCATGTGCCTGATAATTGGCATACTAATAAGAAAGCTTCTAAAGATTGGCTCATTGGATTTTTAAAAAAAAATTCATCTTTGTCAATTAGAACTCCACAAGCCACAAGCTTAGGACGGACGACTAGTTTTAACAGACATAATGTTTCCGAATTTTTCACTAAATTATCTCGGGTATATGAACAATATAAATTTGGTTGTCAAGATATCTGGAATATAGATGAAACAGGAGTTACTACAGTGCAACGTCCTGATAAAATTATTGCGTCAAAAGGAATTAAACAAGTTGGTGCAGCAACATCTGGTGAAACTGGAAGTTTAGTGACTCTTGTTTACGCTGTAAGTGCTTGCAGAAATAGTGTACCACCACTTTTGATATTTCCACGGAAATATTTTAAAGAACACTTTGTAGCTGATGGACCACCTGGCTGTATTGGTTCTGCAAATCCTAGTGGGTGGGTTACTAGCGAAGAATTTTTATTATTCATCAAACACTTTGTAAAACATACAAAATATTCAAAAGAACATCCAGTTCTTATTGTGCTTGATAACCTTGCGTCACACTTAAGCGTTAATATTGTCGTGAAAATGGTATTATTCTTTTGTCATTTCCCCCTCATACGTCACACAAACTACAGCCATAGATAGGTCTGTCTATGGTCCATTTAAACGTTTTTATAATGCTGCAGCCGATTCATGGATGAAAAGCAATCCTGGGAAGACAATGGTTATATATAATATTCCGTTATTGATAAAATCTGCACTTCCAAATGCTGCTACACCAAAAAATATCATATCGGGATTTACATCTACTGCAGCCATACTCAATCTTTTTTTCATTTGGGCCACATAAAATATTTTAAAATATTACGCGGGCCGCAAGTCTAAATGAACGGAACGGAAAAAAAAACTAAAAATACATTTTTATATTGTGTACAACATTTGAAAATTTATTGTAAAAAAATTAAATATTTATTTTAAATTAGTGTGAATTTTGATATTGAGATAATTCTTTAACTATTTTGGATAAATCTGGTTTGTAGTTGCTGCATGCTACTCTTAACAAGTCGTCAAGATGTGAATCAGTAAGCCGATTTCTGTACACATTCTTTGCATATTTCATTTTTGAATATGAAGTTTCACATACAAATGTTGATGTGAACATTGTTAGCAAAGAGTGGGCACATTTTTGTATGGTTTTGTATTTTCCTGGCACTAAATTCCAAAATTCGAAGTATTCTTTTTGTTCTCGCTTTTCTTTGAAAATAACTTCAAAATTTGTATCATTTTTTAATTCAATAAATTCATCAAATAATTTTGAATAATCAGATACAATCAATGCAGCTAATTGTGTTATACTCGTTACCTCTAAGTGCCAAGGATTTTCTATAAGTAAAAAGCAATTCTTTACACCTCTTAAATCCTGAAATCTTCTTTTAAATTCATTGGATAAGGCAGCTAAATGATTTAAAATTATTATATTGTTTGTTTGAGAAATTATAATGTCATCTTGTTTAGCTTTTGTAAGGGTTAGGAAATTATGTAGAATTTGGTTCTGTATTTCCTTGTATTCTAACTTCTCTTCAAAAAGAAAAACTTTATTTGCCATCTGCGAAATAATTTTATTTTCACCCTGTAAGCCACGGTTGAGCTCATTAAGTTTTTCTGTGATATCACACATATAAGCTAAACGGCACCACCAATTATTGTTTTTATCAATTTCATCAAATTTATTATTTTGTTGTAAAAATGCAATAATTTCTAATCGTAAAGTAAAAAACCTTTGAAGAACTTTTCCTCTACTTAGCCAACGCACCGAAGTATGTAAAAGAACGTCACTATAATCACTGTTCATTTCTTCTAAAAGACTTTTAAATTTTCTATGATTGAGTTCGTTTGCTCGAATATAATTAACTATTTTTATCACGCTTTTCATCACTAAATCTACTTCTGGAATAGAGACGCGTGCTGCCAAGTTTTCTTGATGAATAATACAATGAAATGACAAGATATTTGTTAAATTATATTGCTTTTTCAACAGAGAAATAAATCCTTTGTCACATCCGGTCATCGATGGACATCCATCGATACACACACAAACCAATTTTTTGATATCAATATCATTGTTGTCAAGAAAATTAGTAATCACATTGAGATAATCGATGCCTCTCGTTTGACCTTTCATTGGAATGAATTTCAATAAATCTTCATTAATAGAATTGTGTTCAGTACAGTACATAACAAAAATAGAACATTGTGATGTGCCTGAAATATCAGTGCTAGAATCAAAAGCCAAGCTAAAAAATTTACAATTTTTTAAGTCTTCGATGGTACGATTATAAATATGTTTTGCAATATTTTCTATACGCCTAATGCAGGTAGAATCAGAAAGCTGCATTTTTTTAATTTCCGATATTATTTGATTTTTATTGCTAAACTTATCAAATAGTAAGGAGGAAGCACTTATAAAACATTCCTCCGCAATTTCGGCGTCAGTAAATTGTTTCATATGCTTACCGAGTATGTAACAAATTTCGTATGATGCAGTTGTGACAGCTGCATCTTGTGATACCACCACTGACATAACACTTTGTTGTTGTTGCAATGACTTCTTGAAAGAATTTAATTTTTCTTTTCTCATCAAAGACCCGGGACTATAAATACTATCAAATGATTCGTGTTGATTAGTGTAATGGCGAATAATATTATATTTTTTAAGTATAAAACTATCTCTACAGATCAAACAAGTAGCAGAACCCTTTTTATTTGGTACGACAAAATATTCTTCTTCCCAATTTTCTTGAAACATTCGATTTTCTTCAGATAGTTTTCGTTTATTTTTCGAAGATACGCCTGCCATAATGTCAAAAAAAGTATTAAAAAATAAAACCACAAATTTATGTCACAACTGACGGTTGAAATATTTAATAAATAAATGTGCCTGACACCAACGCTATTACACATTTACAATGCGACTAATAATTCGTTTCGTATAACAATAATGCGTACCTACAAACGAGCTACGGCCAGTTTAGCAATAAGATAAAATACATCAAAATCATTATAAAATATTAATAGTGGAAATACCAAAAACATAATCATTCTTATCGCAATCGCGTAGGACACGCTTTAATTGTTCTGTTATACCTATTTTACACTTTTATTAGTTTTAAAATTTTTTTATTAATTCAATGAGTTCTGTTTGGGCCACATATAAACCATTGGCGGGCCGCAGGTTGAGTATGGCTGATCTACTGGTATATGGCTATTCAATAAAGATGTATTTACAGAAGAAGATTATTTACCTTCAGAAGTTACAAATAGACTACTCGTCACGGAAAATGTTACTTCCGATAGTGTATCTAATAGTGGTCCCTATTACACGTGTATGAAATTACACGTGTAGTTCGTGTAGTTTTGATATACGTGTATTAGTTCGTGTAACTAAAATTATACGTGTATTATTATTTATTACACGTGTACAAGTTCGTGTTATTTAAGTACACGTGTAAATAATAAATATGTCATAAATAAAGGTTTATATATTTTTATAAGAATACAATTAAAAATACAAAATTACAGATAAAAAGACCTTTTCGGCGGAGTCTATAAACGTCCGAGTTTTTAGGTATCGAATAATATATAAAATATGTACCTTTATAAAGTTATAAATAATATTTTTACCAACATTTATGTAGTATATAAGATATAACACATTATATACTACATATACTCGTATATTATATTCAAGTGCATTATTGACTACACGCTTATCGAGTTTTCGATAAGATAAAGTTAAATCGATACCACGTGCCGCGTTCAAATTAAATTAAATTGTATTGCTTTTTCGGATTATACAAATTTATTTTACTTGTTGTTCGTTTGCACGATCCACGGATACATGTCTGTTATATTGTACATTGGTAAAATACTAAAATGTCAATGCGTGTAAAAAGTTGGGTTTGGCAGTATGCAAAACGTATTGAAAATAAAGCGTACTGCAATTTATGCGATGAAGATGATAACAACGAGTTTTCTTGTCCCGGAGGTACCACTGGCTCATTGGGAAGACATTTAACTACTATTCACGGCTTAATGGTTAATGCTGTGGTTAATAAAGAACAGTAAGTAATATACATAATATACTATAATTGGTTTAAAATGTTTAAATTTAAAGCAGATTATACATAACTTTGGTAGTAACGTTTCAATTTTTTTTACTCAAATCTTTTCTGTTATTAATAATTGTGTCCCTACATACGAAAAACTTAAATTTAACTTAATACATTTCGCTTCACTTAGAATCTAAAATATAAAAAATCAGTGCAAAACTTTTCTTAGTAGTAAATAAAAATATAATGTATAATAAATAAATTAAATAAACTATAAACCGAATTTTTTTTAAATATTTATTATTAGACTAAGGACACACGATGAACAGCAACCGGAAAACGACAGTGACGAAGTTATGGATATTGATGAGACAAATAAAGAAATAAACCTTGAAAAAAATGGAAGATCAAGAAAGAGAAAGAGACGAACAAATATACATTATCAAAACACAAACAATGGCAATAATGCACGTTCTTGTTCGAAAGACAGGTGTGAATTAATTAACAAAGCATTAGCTAAAATGATAGCTGTAAATCAGTTGCCATTGTCATTTTGCTCAAGTAATGGTTTTCATGATTTCATGTCTGTAGTAGAACCAAACTATAAGCCATGCAAAGAAGAAGCAATTAAAACTAGATTAAAAATATTATCTTCAAATATTGAAGAACTTATTAAAAACGACTTGCAAGATGCTTCTAGTATATGTTGCACAACCGACTGTTGGACCTCGATTTCACAGGAATCGTATATTACAGTGACCGCTCACNTTAAATCATTTGCTATTGACATTATCCTATTCATAGGAGAAGCAGACATATAATTTGTTTTATGTGTATAAATATAAAACATAGTGGTTGATCTAGTTCTGCACTGAGGGACATAAAAATTAAGAAAACCTAAAATTTCAGGGCAATTGATGTAACCTATGACGAGCTTAAATAAGAATTTCATATCAAATATTTTTCTTCGTTCAGATAAACTATCAATATACATTGACTACACACGAAATGGATAAGCGTCATACTGCAGAAAATTTATCAGAACAACTTATAAATACTTTTGGCAAATGGGATATTACTAACAAAATTTTAGCAATAGTAACTGATAATGCGAAAAATATAACTAATGCCATTCCTTTGATAAGTCCCGAAATTTATAGTGTTAAATGTGCAGCACATAGTCTACAACTTGCCGTTAATTGTGTCTTAAAAAATGAAAATATAGTTAATATAATAAAACAATGCAATAAAATTGTAGGGCACTTTAAACATTCAACATTAGCTAAAACATCACTTGAAGAAAAACAAGAATTACTTGGCTTAACAAAAACAACTTTACTTCAGAGTTGTAAGACAAGGTGGAATTCTATATACCTTATGATGGAACGTCTCGTTTTGAATAGATGTGCAATATTCAATGTTTTAGCAGATCGAACTATAACATCTCAATCTATGGCTCAAAAACTCGAAATTAAAGAACATGAATGGTTATTTATCGAGTCGCTTATACAATTTCTTAAACCGATATATGTCACTACAAACATTTTTTGTACGGAAAATAATTCGTCAATATCAATGATTATACCATTATTAAAACAAATTATTGAAAAACATTTAATGCAATGTCATGAAAATGAAGATACCATTGTACAAACATTGAAACAAACATTAGCTTCAGAAATTAAACGCCGCTTTTCGCTTGAATGGGATTCAACTGAATCTGTATTATTAGAACAAATTGCTTCATTCTTGGATCCTAGATTTAAAGACTTAGACCACGAAGTATTATCTAATCATGAGGCAATCCGCTCTAAAATAAAACAAATAATCAACCAAAATAATTATCTCGAGCCCAATGAAATAACTACAGCTTCTCAAGAACAACAAAATAAACATAGAAGTGATCTTGAATATATATTTGGAATCAACAATGAAGAAAATGATCTAACAAAAGAATTTCAAAACTATTTAGCAGAACCGCAGTTGAGATTTACATTAGATCCCTTAGAGTGGTGGAAAACACGATATTTAAAATATCCGACAATAGGTAAACTTGCTAAAAAGTATATGGCAATTACTGCAACATCAGTGAGTGCTGAACGTTGTTTTTCAACTGCTGGTAATATAGTCACCCGAAAAAGAGCTTCCTTATCACCTGAAAATGTAAATTTACTTGTATTTTTGTATCAGAATAAACGGCTGATGATTTAAAATTAAAACTATCATCTATTAAAGTATGATATATTAAAATTATTTATTTATTATTATTTAATATTAACTGGATTATAATTAAATATTTTTTTAGGTACTAAATAGGTACTTTTTGTTGTTTTCCTGTATTCATCTTTTGTTAAATTATTATTATTAGTATTAATATTGTTTCAAATGTTATTATTATTGTAATATTGTTAGTACTGAATAAATAGTTATAAATACTAATAAATTATGAAGCGTAATATTTTTTAATAAATATAATTTTTATTTATGGAATATTAATTACACGAACCAATTACACGTGTATTTAAAATACACGAATCAATTACACGTGTATTTAAAATATACGAATCAATTACACGTGTATTTAAAATACACGAACTTCGTGTACACGTGTATTTTAAAAACACGTCTAAAATCGTTACCACTAGTATCTAATGAAATCATTGACAATCAAAAAAACATAAATGAATAGGTACTCTGTTTAGACTTGGTGTCAAAATCAAGCGCACGAGTGCACTTTCCTCTTCTAATATTGTACTGTCGCGGGCCTTGGCATCCCGGCATACACAATATAATATTATAATAATGTAATATAAAATATATTAACCTTTCATAATGTTATTACGGTCTTAAACACCGTATATATAATTGACATAAATATTATAACAATGTAGTATAGAATATGTACTATCTGCCCCTATCTATGTAATAAATCACTGGACAGGTACACGACTAAAAATCATGGACACGAGTCACAATTCTAGGAATCGGCAACAACAACCGAAAACACACACACATACAAGCTGCACGTGCCGCTGCATCAAAAGAACCGCCATCACTTATAAGGGAGCCTGTGGGACAGCCTGGGCAGATGTATCGTAGCCACGGAGACCAGAGCAACTTCTCGTCACACGCGCACACGCTATTATACTCTTACTATATTTTCTGCTAAATAAACGTAATTCTACAGTTCAATTGGTACATGTTTGATTTGTCTCTAAAGCTTACGGATTTTGGAGCCTTTGAGATTACGCACACAACAGTACTTAATTTGTTTGTGTACATTCGTCACACGCTGTCTCATAAGTCTTAAAAACCGGCAGCATTTAAACCTACGGTCGCCTTCTAGTATGTCTTGTTTTCTGTTTTAAACCAAGATTCAACGGTAGCATTACTTTGGCGAATTTCAATTCCATTGCTGACTTTATAATTCACAGTGCTATGAAAGATACACACTTGACTATGAATTCGTGTATATATGATTTATTATAAAAATGTAAGATTGAGTAATATAGTGATATAAGATTGTGTTATCCTACAGAATGTTTTAGACAAATTTGCAAATTGGTGCAATATTTTCGGATTATCACTGAACACATACAAATGCAAAATTATGTCTTTCTACCGTTCTCGGAGATTTCTTGATTTTGATTACTGTTTAAACGGGCAACCACTTAAACGCGTTAATCAAGTAAAAGACCTCGGATTTACGTATGTTCCATCACTAGATTTTCGACCACATATTGACTCTGTTGCTGGTAAAGCGCTACGCGTACTCGGCTTTATTAGAAGACATTTTTCAAACTTTGATAACCCGAAATGCCTTTCTGTACTCTACAACTCCCATATAAGATCGCTCTTGGAGTACGGTGTTGTCGTCTGGTCTCCTCACACAAAGAGTAACATGCAGAGACTTGATAGAGTCCAAAACCGCTTCCTAAGTTTCGCCTCAATGTTACGCACCCTCCTCACGACTATAGTAGAATTAAGTATTTGTTTAAATTCAAGTCACTTTCTGAACGCCACATCACTTATAGTTGTTGTTTTATTCAATCACTGATTGATGACAAGATAGGCGCACCTCGTTTATTGGAACGGCTGAGCATTCGTATCCCTGGTAATACCCGTATTTAAGATTTTTTTCTATGTACCGTTAGGCCGAGGCAATTTTGCAAAGATATAACAAGAATGATATCCATATTTAATAAAAACCAATAATTTCGTACCTAGACTTACACATCACATTCGCTTTTAATTTTAACAAACAAATTATATTATTACTATATTTACTTATATTTGTCTTATCCATAATACTTTATTTTGTAATATCTTTATCCATACTGGTATAAAAGCCGTTTGGCGTCAATTAGTATATATTATATATATACAAATAAATAAAATAAATTATAATATTCATTAATAATTATATGATCACTATTTACAGCACAATTTAAGACTTCAGTTTTAACATGCTCCTTGATTGACCGAAATCTACAGAACATCATGATCCATCGTGTTGGATTCGCATAGGAATTTATTTATTTCCTCCGAGTGAACCTCACCTTCGTTGTTCAGTTCATTTGGCAATTGGTATTTATCATTACACTTGGCTCTCATTGCACTAATGGCATTTTTCGTGTGTCCTGTACCATAAGGTGACAACAGTATTACTAAAAATATTTTGAACCATTGTTCAACATCTGTCAAACTGGTTGTGTTAAAAAGTATACAAATCCAATCAATAACATCATTTCTTTTCGTTTTTTCTACAGTCAAACGATGGTTTTTTTCAGTTTGAAAATATGTGTAGACATGGTTAACTATAACTATTGTGTAATGATTTGCACATATATTTATGATGGTGACATTAGATTCGTCGTGGTTTTCAACCAATACTCTGTAACACCAGTTAAGGTAGTCGAATATGGAGGTAAAACCATTCTATCCTATACACAAAGCATTCATTTGGGCATAACTGAAATCTGTCACTATATTTGTGAATACTGGCCAAGTCAGTTTGTGTTTCAAAACGAATGCATTAAAAGCGTTCAGCCATTGTGAAATCGCAACAATGTCGTGGGCTGAACTAATCATTTCAACTACTGTACACGTGACTCTTGATTTTCTAGGTAATGGGACATTAACAACTAGAACATAGTACAGAACCCTTTTGATGTTCTTGTCAATTTTCCTGACCACTGTACCAGTTGCATCCAAATACACAGTTACTGGTTGTTGTTTTTTAATCAGATTTTTTAGTATGTCCAACTGCTCCTTACTATAACAGTGAACGGACGGTATGCCGACGTGCTTTACAAAGTTGTTTTGTTTGTCATTACACATCAATACAAGGTCATGAAAATCATCTTTATCATAATCATCGGCACTTATGGCCTCTGATTTGATTTTTCTGACGACGTCATCTGATATAATGCCTTGCAAATTACCACAATTTAACTGAGTGGGTGACGCCATGTCAACAGAACCTGAAGGAAAACGCTTTAGTCTTTTTTAGCGCTTCTTTGTTCAAGTCTCGCTGAAACCCTTTTACGTGATTTGTGAGACCATTGTCAATTGGATTATGATGATAATTCAAACCAGAACTATACACAATCGCCTTGTATGTTCCGTTTGCAGGCTGGATTTTAATTCTAAAAAGTTTACACCACTCGTGGCTACAATACATGTGCACGTTACAATGGTATTTATAATATTTTACCTTTTTTGCATTAATAACGCAAGTATTGTTAACAGTTCTTATGAGCTTTCTGAACATAACAGGATATTTAGTCTTGTCCAAACGGGCTTGACCTCTGAGATCAACATAATTCATATGAGACCATTCTTCAAATGAAATGTTGAAAAATCCTTCACGACACACCATCTCATGGTAGTCATAATGTTTTGGAAATTGATTTTTTGTTCCCAGAGGTAGAACAACACCAGACTTTACAGGCGTTTTCTTATAGAAAGCATTTCTGAGAGGGCTCGGTACATGTTTGCTATTTGTTTTTTTACATGGGGTAACAAAAACAGATTCATCAATTATATTTTCTGGTAGAATTGGAGTACTATTAGGTATTAGTGGATCTCCCTCAGTCCGAATAAAATCAATTTCTGGCGATGCGTTCGTATATTCTAATGAAACATTGTCACTTTCCAGAGGTTCAGACTCTGTGGGCACCGAATAAGAAATGCAATTTTCAAAAGTACCAATAACATTATCAAAATTTTCATTAAAATAAAAAATATTTGAATCAATATTGTCAGTGTTATCTATTGATAGACACGGGGGCAGATTGAGGTACTTTCTACATTCTTTGTACACTTTATTCCTATTAGCATCATTTAGAATGACTCTAATGTTTCTACATATGTCAGTTAGAGTTTTGTGATTGTAATTTACAAAATCGTTAGACGTGTAATTACTATTTTCTATACATTTGATTATTGTGCTATTATTAATTTCTGATGTATTAGCCACATCAGCGGAATTCATAGTTTCAATACACTTATGAAGAGATGAATTTTTTCTTTTAATAGCAATTACTATTGATTTTCTCAAATTATGATCAGTATCTTTCTTAAAGATGAAATTGCAAATATTATTTACACAACTATCGGAAACAGAGACATTCTCAAAATTTAATTCTGGTAATATTCTGTCTTAATATAATGAGCTACCTCATTCAATTTATGTTTTAAACTCATTTTTAAGCTTGTAAATTGTTAACCTACTGTGTCTGATAAAAAATCGACAACACTTTTGTAGGAAACTTTTGTATGTCTGAGATTGTAATTCAACGACACTTTTGTATGTCTGATATTGTAATTCAACGAAACTTTTGTATTGTTGTGAATGCTAAGAACCCCTGGTTACTTATTATATGTAGAATATATTATGTTTTTAGTATTAGTGATATTGTACACCACCTCCGGCCAAAACGGAATGTGCTGAGCAAACCCTTTCGGCCCGGACGGAGCATCGACTCGCTGTGTATAACACAAGCGAGTCAGTCTTGGTTTTAACTCGGAGCCTTATGATAGTCAGAACCTCACATAACATTCGGAACATTCTATATTAATTATATTAATTTAGTAGCATCTGCTGTTATTAATGACACTTAATAAAGTTAAACTAGTTCTTTTCAATTTGTGTTGTGATTAAATTTATTTGTGACTGAACACCTAAGTGCGTTCATAACAGTATATCTTAGCCGACTAAAATTAACTTTTTTAGACAGCCATACCTAACTATGCCTAACACTAAAAAAAAAGAAAAACAATATTTAAAAAAATAATTTAATAATAAAAAACACTATAAAGAATGAAAACTAAAAAATAACTAAATTATAAAAAAACACTGATAAAATGAAAACTATAAATAATAAAAACACAATTAAAACCGAAATAAAACGTATATTTCTAATAATTAAATGTTTAGAAATAGCACTGGGTAGAAAACCCGCAGTGAGTGCGCAAGGAGAAGGCAGCGAAAACGCGAGGAAAAAGCCGAAGAAAACCGAATAGAAAATTTGTAGAAAAACCCGGATCACTTGAGACTAAAAAATACATACATTTAATTTTAAAATAAACTCCAAATATTAATACATTCAATAATATTTTACACTTTTAGAAATCATCATTAAACTTGTGACAATTCCACACTGGCACACATGGATAATAATTAAGATATTTTAAAAGATCAAAAATATTAGATATGATGACTTTAAATTGAAAAAAAAAGTATTAGTTGTTAAAAAATAATGTTATTATGAAAACGAACTCTAATTTTAAAATAAAGCCTTAGTTTCTTCATAATTATTTTTTGTAGAAAAATTATTAATTCTATGATGCCTGTAGCCTGTGTTGACGATTGTCACTTCCCAAATATTGAATATTTAAACAATAAATATTACTCATGTATCATTTCAATAATTAAATTAAATTAAGTCTAAAAAGGATACAACAATACTGAGTTCAATAATAGATATAATAATCCAATATTGTGTACAACAGTAAATGTAGACCCCTCGTGCCACCTGAAAATGGATGGGAAAATAAATATAATGGGAAGTACAAGAGAAAGTTGTATTTACTTATCGTTTCATGAAATCTTGTCATCCAACTTATTTTACAACAGCTTGCGAGCTGAATTACTAAAAAACATGAACACTCCTTCAATGATAGAACTATGACTGGATATTATGTTTCATACTTATAAATAATAAACTACATATATTATACAAATGTATGGTAATCAATAGTAACGAATACTCAATTAAAAATACATTTTTTTTACCCATTTATTGAATGAAATATTTCAATAACCATTATAATAATTTTAATATTATAATTAATCATTATAATATGTATGATTATGATTAAAGTATGTTTTAAGTTAATACTGAGGCCACTTAAGATCCAGAATATGAATAATCAATTATATTAATTATTTGAATAATATATAGGTAGGTACATTTAAAAATTAATATCTTATAATTGTTTATATTGTCAAGAGAATCTCAAATATATTTAATAGTTAATATTGAAAACTTAAATACTTAGAACTTTAATACAATATTACCTTTCACATAGAAACAGTTTCAGTTATTCTAAAACCTGTTAAAAACTATTTCTCATCATGAAAATTATTTCTTTACCAATGTTTTTACAGTTATACAGTTATATAAACAAGTAACAACTTTGATACATATTATATTCATTATATATTTTACTTACAAAAATAAATAATTATATAAACTCCAAATGTTCATCCATCTTTTTAGTGTACATAGACTATTTCTAATACATGTTCAGATATCCTGTAAAATATTGGGTAGAAAACACATCCCTATCAAACTAACTGTCACATGTGTGTAAGACAAAAATATTTTATTGTCTGTCTCATAATATTTATAACAGCAAATCAACAAATGTATAATAATGATATAAACACAACTAAAATATAATATAATTTTATTTGATATTGTTTATTATGACATTGGATACTAGTCAGTATTAGCTGTGTATGTCACCTTTAAAACATAGTCACCACATACATATAATAAATGAATAATAAAAAATATTATTTTTATAGGTAGGAACACTAATGTAGTTGTGCCTATTTTTCGTTTGCATAGACAATACCAATCAGTATGTGGATAGGTAAACGGAACATGATATAACTAATTTAAATTAAAAAAATTAACATAACATATAATTACATAATTCTTAAACTGCAGTATGGTAGACGGTACTACTACGGTAGTAAACTTACCTGTTTCCGTAAAATGTGATCTCCAACAAATGACATCATTAAACAGATTAAACTTTTAATTAGTTAATGTAAACTTACTGCAAAAGTAATAATGTACAATGTACATTTGTTAGAAAGTGTTGCGATTTATAATTTAACTTTAAATTTATTGATTTATATAATTCGGTATAATTATGGTTTCGGTATAATTATCTTGGTAATGACGCCAATAAAATTTAGCATTTATTTATATACTTTTAAAACAAATAATTATTAAGTGACATAGGGCGATATCTACTTTGTAGTTTCGATGCAATCGAACATAAACTAATTGTTTGGCACCCTTGAAATTTAAAGAATGCAACCCAACGTGCAAGGTTTCTTATCACTAGCCGCCCGAAAATATTGTTCACCTAGCTTTGTTCACCCAACTTCACATACGGCATAAAGAGTCTACAACTTTTTGTACTAAAGTATGATTTCCGATAATAATTTTTAATGATATTTCGCCTATTGTGTATAATGGGCTACCGTTAGCTGTGTGCAGTGGTGTATTGGTAAATATATTTATGGGTATACGCACTAATAAAATATGTATAATCTACCAAAAAAAAATTTTCTCGCTTCGCTCGTAGTCAATAATCATTACAATAATTAGGTGACTTAATCTCTTATATTATATTATTTTTATTTTATTTCTTTATTAAATTTTCAGTATTTTTACTAATATAATAATATTAAAATTAACACTGATCATCAATGGAACCGACTAGTATTCATTCTTCTTTGTCAAACGATACTACGATAAGTACAATAAGTCGTAAACTCGAATAGCAAGATTCAAGAAGGAAAATACCCATTATTGCAGTAACAATAATTTATAAATAAATCTATAAATAAACACCATAAACCATTTAATTGACCATAGCCTGATAAACACTTAATAACATCAGTGGTTACAAAAACATAACATCGCAAGAAACACATTTGCCGCGCGTTATAATTTATAAAAGACATAATACAGGTTGAGAACCATGGACTGAGCATTCATACTCCATATTGGTAATATTACATAATATTTTAATAACATCTATTTTTCAAAATGTTATTAATAAATTTAATTTAAAATTCATTATTATATTAAAATAACAATTTTTCCCATGAATAATGGGTTTTCGAGTTATTTTAAGAGCGTATACCCGTAAAATGATATTTTACATTGGGTATACGCTGAAAATCGAAAATCTGCTGACGGGTATACGGCGTATACCCGCGTATCCGTACCAATACACCACTGCACAGCTAATGTCGTACAGCATGGTACTACGTTATCCGTGTTTATTAAATCTTTTCTGACTACTGTTACAGATGCTCCCGTGTCAAATACTAACGTTATTTTTTTTGAATCGATTATTCGACACATTTTTTTGGTATTATTTGTGTAGCAAGTATTTAAAGTTAGGTTATTTTCATTTTTATCGGGTTATGGATTTGTTTTTATTTGATCGATCCCCGCTGATTGATCAAACGTTGCTAGTTTTTTGAAATAAGAACACATAGAGGGGTAATGGGAAGTGCTTTTACATATATAACATTTTATATTATTTTCTTAGTTATTTTCTGGTTGTGTTTGAATTTTGTTTTGGTTGCGCTTTTTGTAACATATGTCTTCGGTATGGAATTTAAGTTCACAGAATGTGCACATTTTATCTTTATTGGCTTTTTTATAACATTGTAACTCTTCGTGTTTATTTAAACCACAATATGTGCAATGTTTTTTATTTTTATTTACTGTTGATTTTTGGGGTGTGTTATTCATTAATGATTTGACCGTTTCTTTTAATTCATTTATTTCATTTTTCATTGCGGAATCTACGTTCTGTTCGTTATGTGGCTGATTTGTAATATGGTTAATTGTGTTGTGTTGCATTTTATTTTTTAAGATTTCGTTTTCTTTTATTAGTCTCCGTAATTCGGAATTTTGATTGTTTGATCTCATTGTTTGATTAATTTCAAACATTTTTAATATATTTAATTATTAAATATTAATATATTTTATCTGGTAACCCTTTTAAAATAAATTGAATAATTTGTTTTTCTTGCATATTTTTATCTACCCTTTTACATTCTGATAATATTTTTAATACATAATCTTGGATATTTTCATCTACGTGTTTGGTTTGTTTATATAAATTTTCTCTAGGCATTTCAATTTGATCTTCAGAGTTGTAATGATTTATAAAATCGTTTTTTACTATTTCCCATGTTAGAATTGGACTTTTATTTTCTATTCTATCTAATAATTTTATTGCTTGGTCCCTTAAATATAATGGTATCATAATTAGTTTTTCGGCTTCCCCCCATTGGTTTGCTTTTGCAATGCGCTCAAATGTGTCAAAATATTGTACCACGTTCTCTGTAATTTTCCCTGAATATGTTTGGGGTTTTGTCACAGTTGATCTATAGTCCATATTATGATTCAAGGTATTATTTTTTATATTCTTTTTTATATTGATATTAAGTTGATTTTTATTTGTTAAATTGTTTTCGGAATCTGCTATGATTTTTGTTGGTTCTATTGTCGTTTTTTCTATATTTTTATTTTTTATTTGCTGTCTAGTGACAAGCGGGTCCCGGTTAATTATTTTACTTATATAAGGTGGTTGTTTGTAATCTGGATCAAGCTCTTGGTTTTTTTTTATCAATTATATACTCTTTTGTTAAATTTCTTAAAGTTTCTATATTATCGAAGGGTGTGTGATTCACTTTAACTTGTGTTAGTAGTGTGCGGTGTTCTACTGTGGATAAAAAATTAATGTATTTGTTTTTGTATTTATTGTTTATTAAGTCGAATTTAGTTTCCCAGTCTAACTATGTAAATTGTTTAGGAGTGATTTTTGGTTTAATTTTTTTGACTATGATATCGCAATATTTAGTTTCTATTATATTTTGAAATGTTTTTGGTGGTTTTACGTTTTTGCTAAATGTAAAGCAATCTTGTACTTGTTTTTGGTCTATAGTATTTAATATCTCACCTAATTGTTCTATATTAATTTGTGTG